TGAAGGACAGGAAGGCCTGGCGCGATGTGGCTCATGGGATCACGAAGAGTCGGACACAACTTAACGACTGAACACCAACAACAACATGCCATATAGGGCTCTATTGGGGTAACTAGCACCTTGTACTGCACCCAGAAGCTCACTGAGAGCCAGTGCAGCTCACAGAACAGAGCTGTAACAAGAGATGGCCGTAAGTGCTCACACCACTGCGTTCTGAACCAATTGTAGCTTCCGGATGGTCTTCAAGGACAGCCCCATATACAGAGCATTGCAACAGCCCGCAAGCAGGTGACTGAGACATGAATGGCCATGAACAGGGGCCCCCATTCCAGGAACAGGCACAAGTGGCACACAAGATGGAGGGGTACAAAGACCCCTCTGGCCACAGCTGCCATCTGCTCTTCAAGCAGGAGCTGTGAGTCCAGGAGAACTCCCAAATTGCACACTGAATCCAAGTAAGGCAAGTAACACCATCCAGAGTCAAGGATGAAATATTTCCAGTTACAGAACCCGTGGGGCCCCAAACCCACAATCATTTGGTCTTGGTAGGGTTTTGCTACAGGGAAACTAATTCTACCATGTATGTTCTTCAGAAGCATGTAAGTAGATCATCTGCAGGTGCCAGGGGGTGTCTTACCGATTCTGCTTATCTCTTGCATTGACTTCAGCACCTCTGTCTAACAGAAACTGGCATATGGTTGGATGGCACATCTGAGTGGCCAGCACCAGTGGTGTCCTTCCATCCTAGAAGAAAGGGAAGGAAAACATCATGGAAAAAGAACAAGGAACTTGGCCTTCTGGGGAAGAAATGGCAGACTGAAGACTGCTCCATGAAAAGAGGAGCTGATGACCGCGGCAAAGTGAAGAGCCAGCAAGTAGACTGACCCTTTGATAATTCCTCTCCGGACAAGGAGAGGGCTTGAGATTGTCCACAAGTGCTCCAGTCAGCTGCTCCTCATGAGGAGGACGCAAAACAGCAGTCTCTGGTGGGTTTAGAGCTCTGGGAGATGAGGAAAAGCCATCTTGCTCAAACCATGGTCGGTGCCTTCAAAAGGACACTACATTTGCATACTTCCTTTTCTAATCACTTTTGGAAATTGCTTGTTAACTGCTTTTCAGCTATTAGGAACCCTTGGATCAATAAGTTTTACAGCAC